TTAAACGGGTTGGTAGGGGTAAATCTTAGACACCTTTCCACGTCGATTTGTGATCAGTTTTAATGGTTAAAATGTTTACTCTGCTTCTGTCAACCCTCACCTTTTATTTACACCCCTCCCTTTTTTTCTGTACAGGAGAGAAAGACATATCACTCTGACTGGACACCCTGATTCCTCCAATATATATACCACTGTGTATTAATCTTTCTTCAGTGTTTTATAGGGGTCCTAACATAATGCTGTGTCAATAATGAAAGGCTTGATGTAATATAGCTGTAATTTACCTTCCATATGAATGCAGTGGTATGCAGTGGTTAGGTTCATAAAAGAGAATTGTGTGAGTCTGGGATTACCACATCTAAAACATTATTCTTTAATGGGATAATACAATTCATTGAACAGCTACCACTTAAAAAATTTGCAGGACAATTAGAGCCTGCATTTCTAGTTAAGATGGATCTTGTAAATTTAAAATCGGATTAACTTTTGAGTGCTGGGGTGGCTGCAATAATTTGGGGGCTGACTCCATTTGGTTTCCAAGCTCTCACTTCTGCATTATCCTTACGGGTCTTTAAACCAGCCACCTAACCAATCAGCAATTCCCATCTGATCTATCACTCAGGCCTTTGTAAAGAGTGCAGCCAAGCTCTGCAGACTTTTCTCATGAAGGATTGTCTAGCACGAGTACCTGGCTACTTAAATGCTGTCACTCCTGCTGAGATAAATGCGTCTTTAAAAATAGTCTCTGTGGCAGGTCACTGGGGGACAATGTACAGCATCTGGCCATCCACTTCTTTTTCATTTCATGTTCTACCCCAAGAGACTCCCGATGTCGGCTGTGGAGGGTTAAAAGGATGAGGCTCTCCTTTGTTTAGCAAATCTGTTCACAGTTCATGATGATGTATTTTATGATGCCAAGCTTGGAGATAGTTGCTTTCCGTAGTCCCAACTGTATTGTGTCATCTCCTGATACTGATTTTTGATCTTTTGTTTTATTAAAAATAATTAGTGAAAGAGGTGTGCCTGTCTGTGAAGTTTGTAGTACATTATCCTGAAGTTATGTAACAACCCCCAACCCCAGCGTTCCCTGCTACCTTGTGTTCATTAAAACGAAACAATAAAAGTAACTGTAAGAAAACCTTAAGAACTGGGGTTAGAGATTATTTCAGGCACTAGGGTCTCTTCTGTATTCCTCAATTGATTGAATCAGCAGGGAGAAACATCGAGAATCGCTTCCTTCAACTTTTTATTTTGCAACATGGGGACCTCAAGAGGTTAAATGATGTGGCCCAGGTTACATGTAATGTGAGGAAAGGGTGACAAGGCCTAAGGTGATGCTCTTGTGACAATTCTGGGGAAGCCAGCAGTTTGGGGAATGGGACAATGTGACACATATTCTCCGTTCCCTGAGACCATTCATTGACTATCCCTTGGTGGTTTTACTAGAATGAGAGGAAGCATCAGTTTAAACATAAAAAAGATTAGTATTCATTCATTCATTCATTCATTCATTCATTCAGCAAATCCTTATTGAGCCCTGACTGTGGGCCAGTCCCTGTGCCAAGTCCTGGGGACATAGTGATGAAAAAACTGGTTACATTTTCTGCCTCCTGCCTCATTCCACTTACAGGGAGTAGGCAAGATGGATAGTAAATTGGCCATAAACACTGAGGACAATGACCTTACAATCCGCAAAATGCACCTTTCGTTTGTAAAAAGATTGCTACTACTTTACTTGTCAGGTCTGCATCTCTAAATGTGGTGGCTCCCTCCTCTTTTTTTTTTTTTTTTCTTTGAGGAGTGTACCATTTTTTATCTTTATAAATTAGGTAAGGGAAACGATGCACTTGCCCGTTTTGTACAGACCTAATCGATTTTTACCTAATCAGTTTTACAGAAAGTATTACATGGAAGAAGAGATAGGGGCCAGGAATGCAAGAGGGACATTGGTGAGTGGGGTAAGAATCCCAGTAGCCCTGGGAAAGGTGTCTCCACTTCCACATCTGGCTTTTCTAGGAGGCATCTGTGCTAAATGACCTGGGATTGTGTTGGATGGCATATGACTGAAAGTTCAAAGAAACCAATTTATAATAAGTTTACAGTTTAGGAAAAAGAATTCCCTTTCACCCCTCATTCCCCTGCAATAAGGAAAAGAAAGAGCCCAGTATCACCTAATTATCGTGGAAATTATTTTACTCTCATATGAAGGGAATCTGGAGGAAGGAAAGCCAGGGCTGGTGTGGCTGCCTTTTGATCCCTGGGAGCACACTCCTGCCTTCAGACTCCTTGATCTTGAGTGCACAGTTTCCATCACTGAGGCTGCCTCATGGGCTAAGATGGCTATTGAAGCACTGATCCTCGCATCCACATTTCAGGCAGGAAGCAGAAGGAAGGGCGATGGGCAAAGGGGCTGTGCCTTGCAGCCGAGCCAGCCTCCCTTTGCTGCAGAGGAGGCAGGGAAATGTGGTATTTACTGGGAACATTGCCGCCCCTCCTCCAAATTGAGGGTCTTGGCTCCAAGGATGAAAGCTGGAAAGGATAGGTGGATCAGTGCTTCTTAAACTTTTGCATGCATCAGAATCACCCAGAAAGATGTTAAAACTCACTCTGCAGGGCCCTACCCCCAGAGATTTGGATTCAGTAAATCTGGGGTGGGGTCTGAAGAATCTGCATTTTTTAACAAACTCCCAGGTTACATAGATGGTGTCAATTCTCAAGCCATATTTTGAGTAGCACTGACACTCTTCCAATAGGTAGTACTTTCATTTGTCAGGGAAGTTCTATTGCTGTGATAACTTAAAACCAACCCAACCAGAAGCTCACAAAAACTAGCAACCCATGAAAAATGATCATCATTTCCCTAGAGCTCTGAGACAACCAGTGGTAGTGCAACAGTAACCCAAAAATGTCAATGAAAATATTTCCTTCCCCAGAAACTGCTTGGTTTCACTCAGGTCTTGTCCTTATGGGTCTGCGTCTGGTTGCAGGGCTTGAAGTATTTCGGAAGCTTAGCAAAGGGTGAGCCCTTTCCCCTGGGGGTTGGTGATCTTTGTTTTGGCCATTTCCACCTGGTGAAGATTTTCATAGACAAACATGCTTGTGGCATCTTGTAATTCATTGTGTCTTATGATGGGCCTCTGATTCTATAAGCTTCCCCCTAGCTAGGGATCCATGGGGGTGATCAAGATGTGACTGAATGTGAACCTGACCTGCTGACAGTCCACCTGAACTTGCCTACAAATGTCTCTTGAAAAGGATGAAAAGCCTCCTCCTTTAGACAAGGAAGACAGAGTGGGGTAAATTTCTCTACATAGATCTCATTCGAAAACACATTTACAGAATGCAGAATGGCTACTGTGTGTCTTGTGCTATGCTAGGTCTCTCTCTCTATGTGGACTTTGACCCTGTCCGAAACATTGTGCTTTTGTGCGTAGTTGTGTCACATTTAGGCCCAGCCCTAAGAACAGTTTGAAAATAAATCACATACAGCCTTTGATTGTGAGGCAAGCTTAAAGTACATTTTGTTTGATTTGCAGAGGCATGGTGAGGAATTTATATGCATGGCTGTTGTGGCAGCAGTGAGATTTCCAAAAAGATGAATGATGAAATGAAACAGACTGAAGCTATCTCACAAATGTTAAATGGAGAAATAAAAGTTGTTATAGTCATTGCTAATTACAGAATGAGCAAGAGATTTAATTTAGTAGGACCATACTATGCCCCTTGGAAGGTTCAGTTTATGAGCTGGAGCACAAGAATTTACTGTCATTTCACCTGAAACACACATTTAGCTGCCATTTACCTTTAGTCCTACTGACTTAAA